CCTTTTCAATTCGCGTGTACGGTGCTGAACTTGAAAATTTGGGGGCCCACTTACCAAAGAGCCATTTAGAGCTCGTAGATCACCAGAAGCCACTTGGGAAAAAGCCTTGATTGGTGCCGAGGATCTTTTCTGACCCTGTCACTCCACAATGTCATGGTTCAGCTGCCCTCTTCCCCCTCCACCCTCCCTCCCTCCCGCCATCGCCGTGGCCGCGATGATCAAACCCCGAGCATCATCTCTACGCTCGAGGACCGAACCAAGGCATTGCGAATCCACCCACAACTGGTCTACCGGGTCTATTGAGCGGATGCCAGGTCAGCTGGTAAGGATTGCTGGGCGGGTTTATGACATGTCCCTCCACCACCACCCACACCACCCCTGGTCCGACTGTCCGAAAGAGTCGTCCCGACGCGAAAGCATCCGGGATGATGTCCTTCCCCCCCCCTCCCCTTCCCCTTCACCCTGGGCCAACCCCCCCGGGCCTTGCATCGGCAGCGGCTTCGTTCCGGATCAATACCAAGGCGAGGCTGATTGATAGGTTCCCAGAAAACCGGTCGCGCCTGTGAGAGCGAGCGAGAGAAAGAATGACGAGGGGTCACCTTTTCCCTGCGGCTCGGGGGGTTTCTTTCATCAGAGAGGGGGAGGGGGATTCGCAATTGAATCGTAACCCCCCTTGGCTTTCAGTCCGCTCCCAAAACCCTGATCCTGGGTCAGCACACACCCCCTCGTCGCTCTGCTCCCTGTTGGGGTTATAGAGAAAGGGAGGTGTAATGTGAGAGGTGGAGACGCATTGAGTGCAGTAGGCTCGCCGAGGAGACCAGGTTGGGGGGGGGGATTGAGTGGCAGTGATGTGTTCATTCAATGTGAATGATGTGATGCCTGCGTGTCCGTCTGCCCAACCTTGGCCGTTGGCGATACACCCCTCCATCTGGAGCCTGCCTTCGAAGTCCGAGGGCCGGGCATCACCGCCTCGAAGATGCTGTCGTTGAGATGTAGGGAGAACAGAAGAGGGCAGCAGCAGCAGCATGTGCATTCTGCAGGTTTTCACCGCCCCGTGTCTCGGACAACCGTTCGACGCCCTCAGACGTGGTCGTGGTTGTGGCGCGTCTTCTGCAGCAGATGCAGTGGTAAAGTCAACAAGTGGGCGTTGACAGCGGGTCAAGGCGGTCAAGATGCCAAACTGCTCTCTGCGGGCTGCTCTCTGTTGAGGGCCAGGATGGCAGATCAGATCAGAGTTGTTGGTGTTTTTTTTTGGGGGGGGGGGGGGGAAGTTTAAAAAATGAAT